AATTGAATGACTCACCATGTGAATGTAACTATGTACTTACATGATGTCTAGTTCATCAATATGTTCCTCCTTTTTATATGTGCATAACACCATCTGTTTCCTCTTTTTGCTGCCTCTTCATTGCCTATGGTTGCCTATTCACAAAAAAAAAAAAATTAAAAAAAATTGTACTATCTGCCTATTTGACTAGGTCTCCCATCAATGGAATTATAGGAAAGCATAGAAACATATCATCAAAGTTGTAATTATGTCAGATACCCACATATGATTGTGTACCTATTTGATTCCTTATGGCTAATAATAATGCATGAGAAATTCATTGGTGGTTAACAAAAGCAGTCACTTAAAAACTGTTATAATGTTATCAATAATTATTAATTTAAGTGGTAAGAATTTTATTTTTTTAATTATAGGTCTCGAGTTCAAGTATTGAGAATACAAAAATTGATATTATGATGGCCAGGTTTTATAATAGGAGCATATATTTGATGTCTATGTTGCACCGACACTGACACGGAACACGGGATACGACACGACACGATACTCCGACACGTTGATTCTAAAAATGTTAAATTTTGAAATGTTAGGACACGTTTTGATATTATATAATATTTTTAATTTATGTAGTATATATTATATTTAATATTCAATAATTTAACAAAAAAATAAAGCTAAACTTATAATACCCATCAATTTTGTAAAGAAACATAAGATATCTCAAATGTTTATATTAAACTCAATAAAATAGTAATCATAATCCAACAAATCTAATAGTTGGAACTCAAAATGCAACACAACATAACCTTTGAACCTTTTTCGAGTCTTTTCAATTAGTATTGGAGTGTCGGAGTGTCGGGAAGTGTCGAACATGACACGTCAATGATTTTGAAGTGTCGGTGCTTCGTAGTTTGATGCTATGAGAGTATGTACTCCTTTAGTAAAAGTAGAAGACTAAGGAAAGAATAATATACAAGGGTGGGTAAAATGAGAAAGATAAATATATTACTTTTTTATCATATTTAATAAAGGATGTACTAAGTCTTCAATATTCTCGTAATACTGAAGATATTTTTTCATAATAATTCGACAGTGCTTGAACTGAATTAATCAGGTAATCAATTAACGAGTGAATATATATATAAAAAAAAACTTTGATCATGTTTAGATATATTAGGCTCATTATTCAAGAGAGCAAATTTAAACGAGCTGAAGCACATTTATAAACAAGAGAAACAAAATAAAATTTACTAGCATATGTATAAATAAAATGGACAGGTTGAGAAATTGATTGGTGGTTAACAAAAGCAGCCACTTAAAAACTATTCATACTGTTTACCAAGAAGAAAAAAATAAAATAAAAACTATTCATACTGAATAAGCTTTTTGGTCCATTTTTGTCTTGTAGTCTAGAATGGATCCAAAGAGTGAACCAAGAAACAAGCAAAAGCACCCAACGAGGCAATGGCACTCTGTCCCTTTCAAGTATCTTAATCTTATCTGTAACTTCAAGCTGTAGAAATATCATCAATTAATTAACATTCAAATTGACTTGAAACAGTGAGTCAGCGTTTGTTAATGGCTTATTGATCTTATGATACAAATTGTAAATTGTAATATAGTACTTTAGCCCTTAATTCCCACGTTAGGATTATAAGAACACTATAATTACTTTTTATTATTTGAATTAAAATCTAACGTTGAATTGGAAATAGTGGAAGGTGGCTCTCTTGGATAAGGCAGTGGATCGTCACATCTTAGCTTTTTCTCAGCTTCGTATCTGTTTTGGTCACCAACCATGGGACACATAAATCAACCGTTTCATGCCTTTACAACATCTTTAACCCAATAATTTCTGGATTTTTTTTTTTGGTTAATTCAAAAGATTTTTCTTCAATACTTAGCAACTATATGCTTAAATGGTTGATATGGTTTTATATAGTTTTATCAATAATAATAATAAAAATAGTAATAATAACAAATAAAAGGATACAAAGAGATGTAATTTCTTTTTCTTTTTTTTTTGTAGTTTTTATCTATGAAGCATTGACACTTCAAAAAATATGGTGTATCGTGTTCGACATTTTCCAACATTCTCGGATATCCCAACACATATTGCAAAGACTCAAAAAAAGATTCGAAAGTTGCGTTGCGTTGCGTTTTTAATTCAACTATTAAATTTATTGGATTTTGATTACCATTTTATTGAGTTTAATGCAAAATTGATAGGTATTATAAGATTAGCTTTATTTTTTTTGTTAAATTATCAAATATTAAATATAATATACACTACATAAATATAAAAAATTATTTAATATCTAAACGTGTCTAACATGTCAAAATCTAATATTTTTTAAAATTAAGTGTTGGAGTATCGTGTCATATCATATCCAGTCTTGTGTCGATGTCGGTTCAACATTGATTTTTATATGTGCAAAGTTACCTTGTAAAAAACTATATCAAGATTAAGAGAAGAACGTAAAAGATCTTCATCATCTATGGTGTTAAGAAAATAGAAGGCATTTTTTGTAAGAAGCTCTTCTATTAAATTCAACTAGTGTATCAACAATAAAAAAAGATATTGAAACAAAAAAGAGGTCACTTCCAAAACCAAAATAGCTCTGTGGAAGTGCAAGTGTTTTGTGACACCCAAGAAAGCCAGGATCCTCTTTCCCTTTGAAATTTCAAAGTGTGTCAGCCGCCGGCAACAACTTTGTTGGTTGCGGGTCCAAGTCCATTTGAATGACCACTCAGCAGAGGAACGAATCAGCATGATAGGCCCACCATTATTATTGTTACTTTGTTATCAACCACAAGCAGCCACCTCTTTGTGGGCTCTATGACCCCACAGGCCAATTTTCATCCATATCTTAAGCTGTGTTTAATCACACAAGATTTTCCCACAAGACCAAAACACAAGACCAAAATCTTGTGTTTAATCACACAAGATTTTCCCACAATACCAATTTTCATCCATATCTTAAGAGACTCTCACGTTAACACATTTAAGGAGAGCCAAAATTCCCTGTAAATTGCAATAGAAAGCAAGTTGTAGCACTAGCCAAAACAAAAAAAGAGAGGAAAGAAATTGCTTAAGTAGCCCAATCAATAATCATGATATAAAATGTTGAAATACTTTATTATCCAATATTAAGGCTTTCTATGAGTTTAATTTTGATTTATTGCGAATATAAAAAATTTATTGTTATTTAATTATATACTGTTACATCATTAAAAGAATTTCGTGCGATTGACATTCTAATTGGGATAATCAGGAATATGAAAATAACATAAGCGGCAAGAAGAATTTAATTTACCAATGACACATAGGGATGGAAAAAACGAGCCAACCTGTCGGGTTGGCTCGCAACCCGTCCTAAATGAGTCGGGTTGGATTGGCCTAAATGAGCTGTCAACCCGATTCAACCCGACCCGATACAATCCAGACCCAAACCCAAACGAGCCAGTCCGCTGGTCAAACGGGTCAGCTCGCGGGTTGGATATTTTTTTTTTAATTCAAAAAAAAATAATATGACTGTATTAAAATAATAATAATAATAATAATAATATGAAAACTCCAAAACTGCTATACGCTCACATCGTCGTCACTCGTCACTTTCCTTAACCCTAACATTATTCTGCCCCTTGGATAGCTTGTTCACCCTGTTACCATTAACCTTGCATCTTCGGGTCTATTGGCCTATTCTCTTGACAAACGCAATCCACTACTCCCAAGGTGCAATACCCTTTTCTCTATATTTCTCATCTTTCTTTTTTATTTTTCCCCAATATATATATGAAAATGGATTCATTGTTATTCTTCTATGTTGTTGACATTATAAGATTTGTTACTTCAATCTTTTTTCTTTTTCAATCTGAGTACCTTTGAAGAGATCAAAGTTGGAACCTTTTGGCAGTGTTGGAGAACAAATAAGACTACTTCCACAAAAATCAACTCGCGAGCCAACCCGTGAACCAACCCGCGAGCCAATATTTCGAGCTAACCAACCCGCGAGCCAACCCACTAGCATCATTTCGAGCTAACCCGCGAGTTTTTTTTGAGCCAACCCGCGAGCTTTTTTCCGAGCCAACCCGCGAGCTAATTATCGAGCCAACCCGCGAGGTTTTCTGGCTCGTTTATTTTTTCGGGCCAACCCTAACCCGATTCATTTTTTACGGGTTGAATGCAGGTTGGGCCAGGTCGAGCCGGGTTGGCCCCTTTTGCCAACCCTAATGACACATAATCTGTTGTATAATTAAAACTGTGAGGATGTAGGACAATGAATGCTAAGCTCACAGTCTATATTTCTTAGCTTTCATATAATGATATAACGGAAGCAAATTGCTCCTCTAAAAAATAGGACTGATGTGTTTGATTCCGGAAGAAAGAGTTTGAATTTTCACCCATGACATGGATATGTGATTGCCCCAAGTCATTTTAATTTAAGAAAAGTCTCTATTTCTTGTATATAAGAATTAATTTTCTCAATCTAAAATATATTTAAACATAAGTTGCCCGACTTTATACTCCATCATGATGTAGTTTCAAATGCCGATTTTTATCATATCCATTTCTACTATCAATTTGCTGTTAAAAAAGAAAAAAAAAAAGGTCTTTGAAGAAACTTTTTTCAAAAACATGTTGTAGGAAACAAAAAAACATGACATATTGAATGATCAAATCTCCCGCATCGGTATCACATACAGATCTTTTTTAATTTTAACTCTTGAATTGATACCAATCGAGTTAAAAGACACGTCACTTTATAGGTCATATTCTTGTGATATCTCACACATAACTATACCTTTGATCCAGATTACTTTGGCCTTTACCAAACAAGGCATTATGCATGCAGAATTATAATAAATTAAATAAATAAATATATCATGCATAATAACAAGCTAACATCCAAGAAAACAATATAATCATTGAACTTCAGACAACAAATTTTTTTAATTAATAATACTTTATCCAATTATATATGAAATTACAATATAGTCATTTTAATCTTTTTCATCATCACTCAGCTCTAGATTTTCAATTTTTTTCCCCTTCTGTTCATTAACTTTTTTTTCCCTATACATAATAATAATTAATTACAAATTAACTTAGCACAAAAATCTCTGCTTGGGGTGGGAAAATGCTTACTCTACTGCTCTACACTCTTCCAAGCTCCGCAAGAACCTTCAGTACCGAGGGTAGTTTCGGAATTCCACGAAGTGGGAACAGAATGCGACAAAAATTCTAGTTATATTACTGTAACAATCCCTGACTTTTTTCTTGAAAAGACAAAACAGCCCCAGGAATTTAACTGGGCCAAGTCAAGAAATCGTCCGGGTCAAACTCGCCGAACTCTTCTTTCCCAAATCGCTGACTCAGCACCACCGAGTTAACGTCCGTCAGACTTAACGGCACGTCGATATCAAAACCGAAGGCATCCACCGCACCGTAACGAAAACCGTCGAACGGAGTCGAATCGCCGCCGTAGTGTGCCAGGACAGACGTCGGCGACGCAAATCCGTCGCCGGGGAAAACAACCGCCGCCGTGTCCTCCTCCGTCTTCGCGGCTCCGTTGCGGGGGAAGTTGGTGATGGCGTTTTGACCCTTAAGCTTTACGGCGGCCTCGTCGTACACCGCGGCGGCTTCCTCCGCCGTGTCGAAGGTCCCTAGCCAGACCCGTTTCCGACGGGTCGGGTCTCGGATCTCGGCAGTCCACCGTCCCCAAGGCCTCTGGCGAACGCCCCTAAACTTGCTACGGCGGCGAGAGGAGGCGCCGTCGGCTGGCGATTTCTTGGGTTTTTTGAAACGGGTCGGGTCAGGGAAAGAAGAAGAGGAAGATGGTGAAGATTTTGGAGAGTTTGTGAATAAGGGAAGGTGCATGTTGATATGTGTGATTTTTTTCTTCACTCTTCGAAGCCTTGATGGGTTTTCTGGCAGTTCATCATCGCCGGAAGAGTCGGAATCAGTGGCGTCATGGTCAGTGAGTATGATCCGAAGGACCCTCTTCTGTGGTTGGGTTTTTCTGGTGGTTTTGCATGGTGGGTCACCCTCAAAATCGGAACTTGCAGTTGCTAGCTTCAGGGTCGATTGTACGGACATGTCTAGAGAGAGAGAGAGAGAAGGATGGGTTGGTTTGTGTCACTCACTCACTAGGAAGTTTTAGTGAAGAGTGTGTGGAAATGAAAAAGGTGGAAGATTCTGAAGTGTTTTGTTTGGCTACATGATACAGTGGTAGAGAAGGAGAGGAGGTGTTGAAAGAATGAAGATGCTATTTTGCTAAGGGGAAGATGAAGTTTTGGGAATTTGGGGGATGAATCTCATGATGTATAAGGAAACCATGACAAAGAGATCTAGATAATATTTTGGTTTATAGAGGTGAGAGAGAGATGGTTGCACACACACTAGGAGAGGGCGAGAGTGGGAGTGAGATTGAGAGAGAGAAAGAGAAAGAGAGGGAAGAGCAAGCTTGGCGGGAAAGAAAGGGGCAGGGAAGTGGTGATAGTTAGTGAGGAGTGAGTAGAGTAGAGAAATAAAAAGTAAAGGGGGGTAGCAAATGAAAGAAGAAAACGAGGTGAAAGATGAAGGATTAAAGGGTATTTATGGTGTACCACGGGGTGTGTCCCCATTGGAGTATTGAGAAAATATTTTTCTCGTGAGAGTGGGGATTTGGTTTGGGGTAAGGAATTGAAGGAGAGAGAGAAAAAGAGGAGGGAAAATGGAATGACGAGGGAAGTGTGAGTGAGTGGAGGAGGGTCATGACTCACTCTTGTGTCTTTGTCGGCAGCAAAAAAATTTAAAACTTACCAAATAATAGTAACACTATCTCCGTTTGGTGTTAGAGAATTAACTAGGTGAGGTGATAACATGTGTTCTCTATTTTCTTTAATATTATTTTGGAGAAAGGTTAAAAATTTTAATCCCAAATTAAATAAATCGTGAAGCGATGAACCGATTGAAATATCTTTAAAAATTCAAGCTTCCACCTGCCTTTATTGTAGTATTCCCCTTCCTCTTTCAAAGTTTCTTTATTTTTTGTTCTTTCAAATTTGGAAACAAATTATTCAAAACTTGTGCTTCTTAATGTCATTGATTCACTCTTGTACTCTCAAAACAAGGGGTTAGCTATTATTAGTCTCTATTAGCAATTGAAATTGGTGATATAATATGAGGGAGCACATCATAGAGACTGAACTAGTGTTTCATTCATCAGAAAAATTACGATCGCAGCATTTAACATGGGTTTGTATGATATGTCGAATTTTTTGTTTCTTAAAAATCAATTCAGCTGTAAGTATAACTGATTTTGGGAGAAGTAATTTCTTAAAAAAAAAACCACTTACATAAAATTAAATTTAAACATAAATTAGCTTTTTTTTAACGTAAATTGTTTTAAAATTAATCTTTTCTAAAATTTAAAACTAACGTGAGAAAGAGAGCAAAATGAAATGCAAAGAAAGAACATGCCACGTTTCCACATTGGTGAATCTTAGACCACGTAATTGACGGGTTCAATGTTGGTAGAATTTTCTAAGAAAAGAAGAACATTTGCTATTTTTAGGACAAGAATCAATAACGTTGAAATTGGGCAAGTGACACTTTATAGTTTTGTTTGTAAGCGGTCCAATTACTAAGACACGTGAAAATATAACGGGTCCATAGCTTAAAAAATAAAAGACAGCGGAAGATTAAAATAATAATAATTTATTTGATTGTTCAAATTATATTAGTACGGTATAAATCGCATTCAAAAGAACGAAAGGATATTATAATTTTTAAATATTTTTATTCATTAAATTAACGTACAAAATGTTATTTATAATATAAATAGAGAAAAATACTAATAACTCTTGCGCCTTCAATTTTTATTTTTTTTTCATTGAACGTATAACAACTATAACCCAAATGATATTATTATAAGTTTTGCTTCATTCTATCCATGAATAACACAAGAAATATATAACAACACAAATTTTTTTCCTCTTATTCAATTATTTATGCTCTCTTTGAGTTTGTTTATGTCGTCTCGACCAAAACAAAAGAAAGGTCATAAATAGTTGTTCAAAATAATCAAATCAAATTATATTTTTTAACCAGTTTTAAGAGCTGAATTGATTTTACAAACCAGTTTAAAAATTGAAGCACACCAAAAAAATTTGATTCAAAACTGATTTAGAATCAATTTGAGACCAGTGCACAATTGATTTGCATATCCGAATCGGTTCGAACGAGTAATGAATAATAAATAATAATAAAACAGTTCAAGTTTTTGAACTAAATCAATTTAAACCAATTAGGTTTAAGAAAAAAAATTGGTTGGGATCAAACCATGCACACCTTTTTTTTATTTTGTTAAAGATATTTCAATCGGTTTATCCCTTCGCTATTAATTCTATTCGAAGCGTGTCTCAGAATTAAGGTTTTAAACTCCTCCTAATTCGATTCGAGGCGTATCTCAGAATTAAGATTTTAAACTCTTCTTAAAAATAATACTGGGAAGAATCGAATACATTATCTCACCCTCGTCTGCTCATCTACCATCATTTGCTAACTATGCACACCTTTAGTCATAAGTGACCGTGCTAAACAACCCATATGTGCTGGTGCTACCACACATGATTACCTAGCAAATGCCCGTAATCTCTTTTCAGTACACTTTTGTGCAGAGTCTGTCTACTCGGGACACCTTAATTAACCGTACAGAGTTGGAATATCAATCACAAACGGATTCGATTTCAACAAGGAAAACCGTAAGACATAAGGTGAAACCATTTTAACTTTCCTAATCAGTACTTTACTTTTGAGTTACTAGAAGGCCAAAATTGCAACAAATATTTAAAGACAAAGTTGAAGACTACACATATGTAGCTGGGATCCTTAATGTGTTGCAATTATTATAGGACATGAACCTTTGCCCTTATTCTAACTTGCTTGAATCACTAGTGCTCAAATGATATGAACTTACGAAGGAAATTTTCATATGGGTGATGACATAAACTGAAAGATAATAGATTTGATTAGTTTAATTTATTACACTGTGATCATCATCATATATGGAAAGAGGCAAAGAGCAACGGCAAAGGTGATTTACAAAAAAGAAAGAAAAGGAAACGTTAACATCCTAGGAAGGGTCCAAATATTGTAAGGAGGAAAATGCTTAAAAGGTTTAGTTAGGTTAGGTTTTTGCTTGAGGAAGAAGCAAAGGAAAATAAGCATGCCAGCAAGTCAAACAGGTGTGATGGTATCTACGTTGGGGGAGGCAAGAAGTTGCAAAGAAATGACCAGTCTCTTTGCTCGTTGCTTGTTAACCAAGTGATAAGCCTTTTAATTAATCATTTTGCCAACTTTTTTAATTAAATTATTAAACAGCTGACTTCAATTCTAGCTACTTGTTATGGCCTCACTTTAAACGTGTCTCTTTCCTGTTGCATAGGTAGTGCTATCCAGCAGGCATGTTTCAGTCCCAAAACATATTATATTTTGAAGTCAACCCAATTCTTCAACAGTGTTTGAGGTTCTTTTTATTTCATTGCATCACTTGAAAGAAAGCACACTCTCTGAGAAAAATAGGAGGAAAGATGGTAAGAAGAAAACATGTGAAAAATCATTTCCTTACAATTTCTATATCGTCACTTGTTTGTTGATCAAACCCTGCCGTATATTCATCCATAACACGAAGAAGATAAGAAAGTGATAATCAAAGCTTACCGTTGGTAATTGAAGTATACTTTTTGGCATTATTTCCTAGAAAATATTCTGAAATTTCTCATAGTTGTACTTGTCCCTAACATCATTGACTTGTCCATCGGGCACTGCCCTTGCTATCATTCTTCCAGTGTGAAGCACGTATCAACCACGCCCCACTCACGATGGTGAGCTTTCACTTTCCCAAGGGACTATTCTTGATCCTCACTAGCATGACTAACTTGTGGCGGCTTGGCTGTCTTAGTCGATATAATGTTGAAAGGCATGTGTGGTTATGGTTCGTCTTAAGCACCAATGCATGAATATAGTATAGAACATGAATCCAACCCCACGAATGACCAATAGCACATGCAAGAATTTTTTTGGTCGTTCACAACTACGAATCAATGACACAAATAAAATAATAGATCATGAAATGGACCAATATCACGAATTATAAGGCACGACATTAGTTATTCGAGTTGAGACCATAACAAAGCCTGAGATCGCTGGCTTAGCTGCCTGAATCCACCACCACTTTGAGAATCACTGATTGCTAAACCCAAGTTTTTTAAGCATAATTAACAAGGTTTCAGGACCCTCTACATGATGTACTCAAGGTCTGGACAATAACACATCATAAAATAAAAAAGTCTATTATGGCCCCGATTTGATTTTTTTTTTATTCCCACTTAAGATGTATTTTTTCTTTGTCCCGGACCAAGAAAGATCAAGTTCGACATCAATAGCAAACTATTACCTTGTTCATAACTATAATATCTATAGCACTCGTTTGGAATAGCAGGTCAACATGCAGAAAGTTTGCATGACATTACAATACAATTTTTTGCGTCACCAATGTCTTACAAAGAAATATTCACAAATGATAAACCAATTCCCTTAACATGGTTGAGTTCCACTGACAAGAAAAGATAAATAATTCATTCAAAATATTGTGTTTCTGCATAAATCATAATTACGCAGCCACATTGAACAGCAAAGGAAAAGGCATGATCATCCCATTGCATACTTCTGAGTCCAGCTGCGAGCAGTAGCTTCATACTTAGCCTTGTCAGTCTTGTACATGTGTGCAATTTCAGGCACAAGGGGGTCATCAGGGTTGGGATCCGTCAACAATGAGCAAATTGACAATAGGACCTAAAATAGTGGATGTCAGTTTCAACAAGATTCAAGCAGCATCACACATTCGATATAATCAACTCCAGATACAGATCCATTAAACAAGAGAATGAACGGATCCAGTTCTTATCAATTTAAATTTCTACGAATCATATGATCAGCTTATCAAGGTGACATGAAAACTATAGCTGAAGTCAACAGAAAAAATAGAAATCTATTTTAGGCTACTTTTGCACTGAATAGGTTACACTCTGACTTCTTATCGTCCCAAAAAAGGTTTACATTTGAAGTTCCTCAATGCTTCTAGGTAAACAAATCTTGAATTATTTTTTGGTGCTAGATTCTCAAATCTACCAATACTGAGATTTAAACGGAAAAAAGAAAAAATCCAGAAAAAGCCAAGATACACAAATAGAACATTCATTAGACACACACACAAAGCAAGACAGTTTTTACATACCAAAATAAGCCAAATTCCTTGAGTATAAGCTTCAATTTCCTAATAATTAGAACGGCTTGTATTTTTTAGCTACAGTAGGCACAAGTATTTAAACACCAAAATACATATTTGTCCAGTATTCCCAAATGCAGAAAATTAGCACGAAACAAGACAGGATACATATTTGTCCAATTCTCACATTTGGAATACCAAAGTCTTCCTTAAAAAACATCACATGGTAATTCAGAAATTACATCTAGCTACGATCAGTAAGTGACACAAGCTAAAACCTTATGCAAAAGTGTTAAATATATATAATATATATATATATATAAATAAAATCAAACCTTGGAAATGGTCAATGCTGGGCTCCATTGTTCTTTAAGAATGTCAAGACATATACTTCCATTACTGTTGATGTTTGGGTGGAATACCTTAGTCCTAAATGCAACCTGCAGTATTTAAAGATGCGAATTTTATCATTTCAAAACTATTCAACTTGACAGAAGTTCAAGATGTTTGCAAACTAGACTACCAACCAGTAAAACAGTATTCCTATCTTGAGAGAAAATTAAATAGGACAATTTCTTCATCTCACTTAATATAAAACACAGTCAAGTGGTGGGCTTTTGTCATTCGTCAATAACAACCAAAAATCTAGGTTTTCAATGGTACCAGAAATATTGAATGAACACAAATGGGGAAACAGCCCCTTACAATCAATTCCAATCTAAATACTAACTCCAAGATACAGCCAATTAACTATCACACTCAGCCTACTGGAAAACAGAAATGACTCAAGAAGGAATACAAGAAAGCTTCTAAAAAACTGAATACAAGAAAGATACTAAAACCCAGCTCCCTCTACAAGAAACAACCTATCTTGGAGTGTTTTTGTGGAAGGGGATGAGGAAAGATGCTGGGGAGTATGTTCGGGCCTGTGCAATTTGCCAACAACAAAATTACCAAAACTTACAGCAGGCTGGACTCTTAAACCACTTACCCATTCCAGCTCAGCTATGGGAAGATATCTCCACGGATTTCATTGGAAAGCTACCTAAATCTAGTGGAGTAGATACTATTAAGGTAATACCCACTACCCATAGTCAGAGAAGTTAGAAAATACCCACTACCAATGTTAGCAGAAGTTAGAAAATACCCACTACCCAGAGTCAGAGAAGCTAAGCCACAGCCCACAAGGCAAACCTAGTTCCTTTATGTAAAAAATTTGCAATTATCTCTAAAATTTTCACCATCTCAATATTGTTGACTTTAGACCATATTCAAATTTAAAAAACATTTGATCCTCACAGACTTAAGTATATTCCGATTAAATATAATACCACATCCATTGCCACCATGAATAGCATTTAGCAATTATGTATGACATAAACACTGCCTAACTAGACCAACGCTCTAAAACCTTTTCTCGATGGGCTGAGTAGACCAGTTTAACAAGAAACTGGTCCATAGTACAGTCCAGAACCAGTCAATGGCACTCAAGAAACTGTTTTGAATAGTACAAACCAGCCAATAGTCCAAAAAGTGCATGCCAAAGTCATAAAAAATCTAGATTAATCCTGCACAGCCACGGAAGATTGAAGGAGGCAAACCACCAAATTATCACTTGTTTTGTACTCTGTACAATCTCCAGACACAAATACATTCACTACAATGGGGAATGATAAATATAGATACAACTCCAAGTAGTACAAGCCCAACGAGGGAAGGTGCAAGCAATATGAATAATCACAGAACAAGTCTCAATATAATTACAAGTTTACAACATAAGGAGAGAAAATGACACAAGCAACTAAGGTAAGTAACAAACAAGGATAGATTACCTTTGGTGGCTTGAATGGATAGTCAGGAGGAAAATGAATTGAAACTAGGAACACACCACCTGCATACGGGCTATCAGCAGGTCCCATGATTGTTGCTTGCCAATGAAACATATCCTCAGCCACAGGACCTGATAAAGATAACATCATAACAACAATCTCCAAAGTTATTAAAAGAAAAAAAAAAAAAATCACTGTAGCTAACTTCATAAACCAATAACTAGACTTCATGGTAATAATTTAGAAACCCTGAAATCTCGCGCATAGTCCTAATCATCCCCAAGCTTTTTGGATAACTGATCCTTAATAATCACTGATAAGAGCAATATAACCACATCTTCTCAAGTATAATTAATTAAAAACACAGATACAAGAAGACCTAAATTTGAATCTAAAAAAGTAAAGGGTTAATTTAGCTAACCTAAATAACAGAATCAAGATACCAATTATTACACAGAGGAAAAGGGGGTTAGATAATTAATAATCAATTATTTGTGTACTATTAATTTCAACCTAAAGTCACTTTTTTTTTTTAATGTATTGAAAGAAAAAAAAAGGGGGGTTGACCTGCACTGCACGATGTAGGAGGGTCCTTCTGCAAATCCTTGAGCTCCTTCAAGATGCGTTTCGATGCCATACTCAAACTTCAAAGGGGATTCAGAAACGGGGGATTTGGAAAACGAAGCAGCGAAAACCAGAGAGAGGGGTTGTAATTGAAGATGAATGGACAGAGAAATTATAGGGAAGGGTAAGTGAAAGAGAGAGAGGGTTGCGTTGGTTTCTAGAATGTTCCGTATTCGTATTCTATGTTTGCGTAGGATCAACGCCCTATGTTTGAAAGGAGCAGAGAATAATAATACCCACACGGAAAAGTGAACATGGAAAATGTCCACATAATGATGTTATTAACTTAAGGAAAAATAAAATAATAAATCATTCAAATAAAATTATTTTTTTAAGTTATACTCTAAGATTTGGTTGATGTTATTTATATTTAATGATTTTTATTTACTGGATATGTGAGTCATCACGTACAAACAAATCATTGATCCGATTTAATGTAAGATTGTATAAGAATAACATGTCACTTTTTCAAATTCATTTGCAAGATATTATTCATCAATATAAATTTATTTTTTTAATATTAAGATTTTTTAAAAATAAAATAAAATTTCTGCAGTTACTGTAGATAAGTTATCTGCATTTATTCTCAAAATGATGTTGTTTTGATATTGAAATCTTGAAAAATTATAAATATAAAGATTATTATAACTCTGAAATAAATTAAAATTACAAAAACACCATGATTTCCGTCTCAAAACAACGTCGTATTGAATTTAAATTGCGAACCTTTTTTAAAATCAGATATTTCAATTTTGATTCTTTTAAAATTAATTATACCACAATCTAAACTGAAAGCATCTCATATATATGATTAACAGTTTTGTTTTTTTTCACCAACATTTTGTCCCTACTCTTAATGTCTAACAATAAATAAATAAATATTTTTTCTATACTTAAATAGATACAAATTGTTAGATGTGATTCTTCGATATTCATCTTGTATGAGGGGATTTTTGTTTCAAATCGCCATGTTTACTCTTCTATTTTTCATTTGAAGTTTTTGTTGTCTAGATGATTATGTTCTTTATGTATCTGTTTCTTGATAGTGAAGAACAATAATACCATATTGAGAAAACTACTTTTATGGTTTTTAGATCCTGTTTGGCCTTTTAAAAAAGTTAATTTTTATGTCTTACTTATTTTTGAAATATTTTTTACAAAAGTTAAAATAATTTATACTTTTTTTGAATATTTGATTTTTGACTTTTTTTTTTTTTAGAAGTTAAAAATTTTAATTTATAAGAATATAAGTTTTTAACTTTTTTTGTGGCTTTTATTCTTATTTTAAAAGTAGACATCCAAATAAATTTATAATAAAAAATATTTTTTTAAGAAAAAAATAATTTTTGAAAAAAATCATCCAAACAGACCTTAATCTTTTATGTTATTGTTGTATTTTAAGTTCCTTTTTCTTTTTGAAGAGGGAGATATTTTTATTATCAAAAAAAATTCATTACCTATCTAATAATTATTAGATCAAAAAGAAATAATACTGAAAAATTTCTAAAAAGAGAAAAATACTAATTCAATGATAATTAAATATGTAATTGGTTAGTAATGAGTTTTTTTATAGTAAAAATATCTCCTTTTTCTTGAATCAGTCAATTTTTCCCCTTTTCTCGAGAAAAAAGAAATCATGGTTCTTTCCAAGATTTTTAACTTAATTTGACAAGCCAGGCACTTTTATAAAATCGAAAGTTTGAATTTCGAGACAAGTACTCGGAAGTGCAATTGACTTTAATGTACAAAATTCATCAACATGATTAGTTTCTAAACAATGAATCTTAAATATTTCAATCAATAAAGATAAAAATAAGATAACAAAGGAGCGTATATCCCATCGTATCCATCTAGTTTCAAATTAAAAACTTGGGGGTCGAAAGTTAAAAAAATAGACTACCCCTAATCTCTTTTCCTTTGTCTATGCTTGAAATTTGTGGCACATTGATAACCAGATTCTAGTTAGACCGTATATACATATTCCCAGAATGAAAAAGACAGGAATTTATCTATATTGAAGAACTTTAAAGATTTACATGTATCTAATGGCTTGTGAATGCATGGCTATTGGCACAACCCCTCTTGCCTGAGAATAAACTTGTTTGCTTTGGAAAAAAATTACTTGAATTAATTTTAGTAAAATATATTTTTTATGTTATATAAGGCAAAATTATCTCTTGTATATGTAAAAAATGAATCTCTTTTCCTCGATGGATCCTATTCACTTTTTTATGTATTGCATTAGACAATTTTTTTTTCATACAACATGAGAAACATATATACCTTAATTTCATCAATCAATTGAACTCGTTAAACAAAATTCAAAACAGGTTTGATTCCTCAAATTAAACATCATTTAGGCCAGGCAAGAATATGCATGGTTTCAATATTGTTTTAATTTTTTAAAAAAATTGTATTACTTTCGTCGTTATGCCTAGCATAATTTATGGAAATCATTACCTACATGCATACCTAGCAAAATCCGTAATGTTATTTTTCCACAATATGGTGAATCAATTTTTAAAATTTCAAGAACCCCATCATATATATAATTTCATTTTCAAGTATGTCTTTGCTTTTTCTTTTGGTTAAATTGGGAGTCAACCACAACTTGAACCTTACTTCTACATATAAATTCTTGGTAGAAATTTAGAGAATTTGAAAGGAATTTATAATTAATTGATTCAATTCATACATAGACATTTGATTTGTACAGTGTTGGCTTGGCTGATCTATTCTAGGAAATAAATTATATAGTTGTTGATTGATTCATTCTAGGAAAGGAAATTAAATTATTTCTACAAATATCTCCCTAAATCTGTTTATTTACTTTAATTGGGGAGAAAATCTTGCCTCTTTTATTTGAAGCAATCAAAGAGAAAATCTCTCATTGTCAACTTACACTCCCCTTAAGTTGGGTCATATATGTTTATCATGCTCAACTTGCCAGTTATCCTATAGAAGTTTCCTCCTGAGATTGTCTTAGTGAGTATGTCAGCAAGCTGGTCTTCAGACTTCACGAATGGGAATTAAATTATTCGATGGTTCAACTTTTCCCTGATGAAATGACGATCTATTTCCACATATTTAGTGCGATCATATTGAATAGGATTCTGAGAAATTTGTATGGAAGCTTTGTTGTCACAAAATAAGTTCATGGATTATGCATGCAATTCCTAGCTATTCTAAGACTTTCTTTATCCACAGTAATTCACATAAGTCTTGTGTCATTCCTTGAAATTCTGCCTCTACACTGGATTAGGTAACAACTTTTTGCTCTTTACTCCTCCAAGTTACTAGATTTCCTTCTACAAATGTCAGGTATCCAGAGGTGAATTTTCTTGTTAATTAATCTCCTGCCCAATTTGCATCGTTATATCCTTCTATAGTAGGGGCTGCAATTTTTTGTGTACAACACTCTGCCTGGTGTGCTCTTTAGATACCTCAGGATTTCGTAAACGCGTTCATGTGTTCCTCATTTGGAGCATACATAAATTCACTAACCACACTTACTGCATATGTAATATTTGGTCTAGTGTAAGTGAGATAGATCAATTTTTCTACTAGCTGCTGGTCTTGACCTTTATCATATATAAGTTCTTCGATGGACATTCTAAGCTGATGGTTCATCTCCATTGGGGTTTCAACCGGTTTGCAGTCTAATGTACTGGTTTCTGCTAACAAGTCTAACACATACTTTCGTTGAGAAAGTGAAATTCCCTACTTGGATTGTGACACTTTGATGCCTAGGAAGTAGCGTAACTATCCCAAATCTTTCATTTCAAACTTGGTTGGCAAATATCTTTGCAAATTCTTCATTTCTTCCAATTTATTTCCTATTAGGACTATGTCGTCTACATATACAATCAAGGCTGTCACTTTCATGTCCCTGTGTTCAATGAATAAAATATGATCAAAATTACTTTGCTTGTACCCAACTGACTTCATAGCCTTAATGAACCTGCTTGGGTGATTGTTTCAATCCATACAGTGATTTCTTCAACTTATATATTTTGCCTTCGTCTGCGGGTCCTTATTTAACCCCTGGAGGAATTTCCATATACACCTCTTCTTCCAAGTCACCAATTACGAAAGCATTTTTTACATCAAACTATCGTAAGGGCTAATCTCGATTAGCTGCAATTGATATGAATATACGAATAGTATTGAGTTTTGCTACTAGAGCAAAAATCTCCTGATAATCAACTCCATATTTTTGTATATACCCTTTTGCCACTAGTCTTGCCGTATACTTATCAATGCTTCCATCTGCTTTGAGTTTTACTGTGTATACTCATTTACGTCCAATTGTCTTTTTTCCTTTAGGTAGTGGGACTAGTTCCCAAGTTGAATTCTTTTGCAGTGCTTTCATTTCTTCATTCATAGCCTCTTTCCACTTTGGATTTGTCAATGCATCTTGCACGCTACTAGGAATAAACACTTTGGATAATTGATCAACAATTAGAGCATAAGAATTTGACAATTGACTAGTAGAGGTATAATTATTTAAGGGATATTTGGCACAAGAATTAAGATCAAGTTCATACACCCTTTTGGAATGCCTCTATTTGATCTTACAGGGTAACGAGGCAAGAAATCATGGTTAGTGATATTACCTGGTTCATTCTGGGAAGACTCTTCAGGTGGTGATGATAACACGGGTTCTTCAATACTAGTGTTGACCACATTAGGCTCTGCAGTATTTTGGACAACATCAGGCACAACAATGTTTGGATTTGTCATTTGTGAATTTAATTCTTCTTCTATAGCTTCAAGCTCTATGAATTTTGTTCCATCTTGAGTTAGTACAGATTTGCTACTTGACAATGTAGTCTCTTCACATGAAGTCTCCCCATGAAGAGATGAGCGGGAAGTACCAGTGGAATAGTAGGATTCAGATTTCCTGAATGATACATCTAGGGTCACATGCATTTTCTGGGTGATGAGGTCATAACACCTATATCTATTCTAGAAATCAAAGTAGCCAACAAAGACACAATGCTTGGTGTAGGGATCCAGTTTGTTGCGCAAAACCTTGGAGATGTGGGCATAAACAGTGTAACCGAAGATTTGAGATTCTAGGTTAAGTAGATGAGAGAGCGTACAAAAAGATTTCAGCCGTTGTTGAGGAGTCTGGAAGTCTAGGACTTGAGAAAGAGACAATTAATAAGGTAGGCAGCGAATTTAAGTGATTCTCCCTAATA